TCCTTCTAAGACTTAAGCCCTACACACCCCCCAAAACCCTGAACCCTAAAGCCCTAGACCCTAAACCCTAGACCCTAAACCCTAAACCCTAGACCCTAAACCCTCAACCCTAAACCCTCAACCCCAAACCCCGAAGCCTTGAGTTCCTGGCCCTGGTCGCCTAGGCCTTCAGCCCGGCATCCGATCGAACTTAAAAGGTTTAGGGTATCGGGTTTAGGGTTTAGGGTTTAGGGTTTAGGGTTTAGGGTTTAGGGTCTAGGGTTCGGGGTTTAGGGGTTCAGGGTTTAGGGATCATGGTTTAGGGTTTAACAGGTTAAGGTTTAGGGACGGAATTCTTGAAATCATTCAAGGAATCCTTAAAGGAACCTTTGAAGGACCCTAAACCTTAAACCCTCGCCTTAATCCCTAAAGCTACGAAGGCCCCTAAACCCTACTTTGCAAGTAGAAGTACACGTGCCCCAAAAGGGATCCTAACTGGGGTATGATACTTACACGTCTCTGAAATAACTACTTACTATGTCCCCGACCCTCCAAATAAGCCCTAAACCACCAGGCAAGGCAACTTGGAGGCGGCCAAGGCTTCGGCTTTGCTTCACATGGCTTTTTGGGTTAAGTAGGGTTCTTTGGACTTTGAGAGGGTTTTACGTAGATGGTTTCAAAAACATTTTTTTAGATTTTCATGGAGGGTTTGTTTTGTTTTGGGAGTTTTTTTAAGGCCTTCGATAGGTTTTTGTTTTTACAAGGGTTTCTAGAGGCCTCTGCACCCCTAAGCCCTAAGCCCAGCCCTAGGCCCCATATAGAGTGGTGCCAGTCGCATTTTCCGGTCGAAATATTGCGTGAGATCTCAAAGTAGGTCGGAAAGGCAAACATTGCTGAACAAACCCGAAACCCTTCACCCTAAACCCTAAACCCGTGAAACCCCAAAACATCCCTTGCCTTACACGGCTCTTGATGTGTGATCGAACGAGCAAGGCGAATTCCATCGACGGGATATCTGGCACGCAAGATCATGAGAGAGGATGGCTCGTTCGATAAAACTCTTACGCACATTCCTCAGCCTCTGAAGTTGTTTTGAATCGGTGAAGTTGGTGCCCTTGTTCGCCAAGTTGGGCCCTGACTTGCGCGCTTGTCAAACTCGTGCGCGTGGTTCGGGAACTTGGAGCGGCACCATCCCACCAAATTCCCGCCTATCAGAAAGCTGTACCTCAAGGCCTCGTGGAGTTTGTGCACGAAAATGCGAGAGGGGAATCTCGCTCGCGCTGGCATACAAAGAAGTCATCGAGGCGCCCAGGCCTTGGTCCGCAACACATAGCTAGCGCAGAGCCCTTCTAGAATCCTTAAAAAGAAGCCCTGTTACAATTAGTAGGCGGCCCCACATTACCTTCTCGAGCCCTTGTGAATCCTTACACTGAACCCACCCTAGCCCGTATTCTTAAACCCTGAACCCTGAACCCTAAATCCTAAACCCTATAAGCCCTAAGCCCTAAGCCCTAAACCCTAAACCCTAAACCCTAAACCCTAAACCCTAAACCCTAAATCCGGAAAAGGAGCCCCTTAAAGCCAAGGGCAGCTCCCCAGAATCGCAGGCCGAGTTGCGAAAGCGGGCAATTGCCTTTCAGGCCTCTCTGGGGGCGGAGGATGGTTTCAGGGGTTTAGGGTTTAGGGTTTAGGGTTTAGGGGTTTAGGGTTTAGGGTTCAGGGTTTAGGGTTTAGGGGTTTAGGGTTTAGGGTTCAGGGTTTAGGGGTTTTGGGGCTCCTTGAAACGGGTTCTATTGTAAGGGTCACTACAGGGTTTGGGGAGGGTTGAGGGTTTCAGTTGCGGGTTTCGTTCCAGGGTCGAGGTGGGGCGTTGGGGATCTTAGGGGTGTCTGGTCTACGGCAAGTGCCTTTGGGAGTCAGCTCAGGGTTGAAGGTTGCGGTGTAGGGTTTAGGGGTTTAGGGTTTAGGGTGTCGGGTTTAGGGTTTAGGGTTTAGGGTTTAGGTTTAGGGGTTCATGGAAAGCCTTCGCCATTTCCTGAACTGCATCCCAACACCCAAATCCTAAATCCTACAGCCCTAAATCCTTACAAAACCATGGGCGCACCTCTAAGACCATGCAGAACTTAAGGAACAACGGGAACCCCAAAACTTTTTATTAGGGCCTTGTTCACTAGGACTGTGATGGCTTCCTGCCGGGGCGGACGACACCGGCTGAGCCGGCAGGCCAGGCAGTGGGCTGGTTCGGGGTCCTAAATGCTAAACCCTAAACCCTAAACCCTAAACCCTAAACCCTAAACCCTAAACCCTAAACCCTGAACCCTAAACCCTAAACCCTAAACCGGGCGCTTGCGGTTTGGGGTTTGAGGTTTGGGGATTCGGAGCTTTGGAGTTCAGGGTCCTGGGTCTAGGAGTCTTTCTGGTCGAGATCTCCGAATTGCCAGAACAACAGCAAAAGGGGGTTTAGGGTTTAGGGTTTAGGGTTTAGGGTTAACAGTAAAGATGATGTGGAGGAGGAGAGGACGAGGAGGAGGAGGTGGGAGTACTCGTAGTAATAATAGTAGTAGTAGTAGTCGTCGTCGTCGCGGTAAGGTTGAGATTCTGCTGTCTTAGCTCAGGCTTGACCTAAGTTGAAGGGTCCAGCTTCAAGTAAAGATGTAGGGTTAGGGCTTCGGTGTTCAGGGTTTGGGTTTGGCTTCGAGCTTGGATTTATGTTTTGGGTTCGGAGTTTCTGCCTTGAATCCTGCAGTTAAAGCTCAGTGTCCGGTCCGCGCAAAAAAGTCTTCCAATAAGGAGTCATAGTTGAAGCCTCAATGCTATAGTATGTCTTCATTACGAGTGGGGCGGTTGGAGCGTTTCGAAAGCTGGACGCCTTGGCGGTTTTGCAGAGTCTTTGGTGTTGGGGTCTAGATGTCCTTCGACGTGGGGTTTTTGGTCAGCGCAATAGAACGCGATCAGGGCCCTAAACCCTAAACCCTAAACCCTAAACCCTAGACCTGAAACCCGAAAGCCGAAACCCTAAACCCTAAACCTCCTAAGCCCCGAGGAGCATACTGAAGATTTCGGAGGCCCTCACCATGATTCGATGAATCCCATTTCCCAAGAACTCCTGAACACGATAATTCCAAAACTGCGACACCTTGAAAGGACTAGAGTTTAGGGTTTAGGGTTTAGGAACTTCAAAGGTAATAGCTAGTAATAGTAGAAAAGGTAGCAATTTTCATGGAACAGCATCTGGCAATTTCTATTAGGTCTGTTGCCACTGGTGCTTGTAATAATGTTTCTCGTATTGATGTAAAGAAGATTGTTACCAATGACAGCTTTTTCGATGATGGTGATGATGGTGATGAACCTAATGCCTAAACCCTGAACCTTGCTTGCACCCTAAATCCCCTCGAAGATAAGCCCTGAACCCTAACGCCAAACCCCAAACTCCTCACCTCTAATGATGGCGAAAGTATCGACATGTGGGTAGTTCTCTTTAGTGAGGGTGCCTTTCTAGGTCCCCGAAATAGTACGGCACCCTTTTTGAAAAAGACCCTAGGAGAGGACCTTTATTTACAGAACTGCCCTCTTAATACCCTCATAGCAACCGATATAGATCCCGTATAGATCCCTCTAATTAGGAACCCTAAACCCTTAACCCTGAACCCTAAAAGGGGACCCTAATTTAGAGAACTCCCCACATGTCTTCCAGGCCAAGCCCCGCGACGCCTTGGAAAGGCGGCGCCTTTGGAAACTTCGGTCGGCGAGCTTGAAGTTTAGGGTTTAGGGTTTAGGGTTTGAAGTTTCTTTAAGGACGAAAAGAGCCCTAAAAGGATTGCTTTTACATGAGAAGAACTCCTACAACAACCTCTTCGGCATGCCCTTCTCTCCACAGCGCCAGAAGACCCCGAACCCGAACCCTTATATAAACCCTACACCCGCAAAGGCCACGCATAGCCTCAGCCCAAGCACCAAAAACCGCAAGAATCCCGAAGCCCTAAGTCCTTAAGCCATCTTAAGCCCGAAGCCCTGAAGTCTAATCCTCAAGCCTTACTTGGAGGGTCGGGGGACTTAGTAACTAGATGTTTTACAGACTTATAAGTACCATAGCCCCAACGAGGATCCCTTTTAGGGTACTTATAACTCTACTCACTACCTACTTACTACGTCCTCCGACCCTGCGGGTAAGCCATCTTAATCCCTAAACCCTAAACCTTAAGACCTTAAACCCTAAACCCTAAACCTTAAAGCCCTAAAAGTCCTTTGAGCCCCTCAAGCAGGATCCGGAGAAGAGCTTCATCTTAATCCCTAAACCCTGAACCCTGAACCCTAAACCCTAAACCCTAAACCCTAAACCCTAAACCCTAAAGTCTCATCCTAAACCCTAAACCCCTGAACCCTAAACCCCTAAACCCTAAACCGCAGTGGCCGGAGGCCCTGGTGGCTCAGAGGAGCTACGAAAGCGGCTCCCTCGTCCTGGTCGACTCACCCTTCCTCGTGGTGCTTCGGCGCAGCTGAGGGTTAGGGGTTTAGGGTTTAGGGTTCAGGGTTCAGGGTTTAGGGTTTAGGGTTTAGGGTTCAGGGTTTAGGGTTTAGGGTTTAATACAGGGGCTTAAATAATTACCTATACTATTTTGGCGGTTCCTCATGATATTTATCAAAAAGCCAAGTCTCATTATTCAGGCCCCTACATCCAGTTTTAGGGTTTTGGGTTTAGAGCTTAGGGTTGAGGGTCCAGGGTTTGGGCCTTAAGGGTCGTGGGTTCAGGGTTTAGAGTTTTGCGGCTTCGGGGTCTGGGTTTATGGTTTCTTTCTTAAGGTTTTCGAACGTTAGAGTTGAGAACTATGTGGGGTGTAGAGTTCAACCCTAAATGGGTCGGTTGAGGGTTAAGGGTTTAGGGTTTAGTCTAGGGTTTAGGGTTTTAGGGTTTAGGGCTTAGGGTTTAAACCCTAAATCCTAAACCCTAAGCCCCAAGCAGGTACTTCACAAAGTGAGTTCGCGGTTCCCCCGCGTCGTATTTTAGAAGAGCTGTCCCATTGATAGGGTCACTTGACTTTGCAATTGGAAATCCTTTGAAGCCAGTGGTTCGAGTCTGAAACTCCTAATCCTAAGGCACAACCTTTACATGTCTCCGACTTCCACAACCTGAAAATCCTAGATCCTAAATCCTCTAAAACCCTTCAATCCCAAACCCTACAGTCCAAAACAACCCCAACTCCGTAAACCCTGAAGCAAGCGCCACCCCTTCCCCCACCCTCTAAGGCATAACATCAGACCCGCCCAATCCCTGTTCTACTTCTAATTTGAGCCTAGAGAGCTTGTCTGTGGGATCATCCAGAATTTCAAAGGTTTTTTTTTTGTAGAGTTTTCAGTCCCTTGAACGGTGGTTCACTTTCCGTCAATAACCCTGTATTTTGCAGCTCCCAGTTGCCCCTAAGCCCTAAACCCAAAAGGGCTGCTTCTTACCAGAACCATACCTCCAGCCTACAAGGCTAGAGCGAAACAAGACCCAAACCTTAAACTCCAAACCCTAAACCCTAAACCGTAAAATGTACTCTCTTCCCATCGACACCAAACCCTAAAACCCTGAACCCCCAAAATTGACTTGCACGTCAGCCCTAAGTAGTAGGTCTTTCTCTTAAGGGACCCCTTGTGTGAAGCAAATCCTAAACCCTAACCCAAGCCCTAAACCCTAAATCCTAAACCCTAAACCCTAAACCCTGAAACCCTCAAACCATCAAGCCCTCAAACCCTCAAACGCTAAACCCTAAGCCTTAAGCCCTAAACCCGAAGCCCTAAACCCTCGCCCCAAACCGGTGGAGGTATCGAACCCCGACGGTTTGGAACGATGGATACGGCGCTGGGACTGCTACTACGAGATTATGAAGCCTGGATCTCGGATTTAGAGTTTAGGGTTTAGGGTTAAGGGGGTTTGGGTTTAGTGTTTAGGGTTTAGGGTTTAGGGATTTGGGTTTAGGGGTTTAGGGTTTAGGGTTGAGGGGTTTGGGTTTTCTTGGGGGCTCGCGCGACTTGCAAGTATACAACAAGTAGAGTTTTAAGGCCCTTAAAAGGGATCCTAATTGGGGGTATGATACTTATCAGTCTATAAATCTGTAAAGGAACTACTTACTACTGTTGATGATGAAAATCCTGCATTACCCATACTCGGGAATATACCATAATTCCCATAGTTGAGGGTCCTTAAGGCAATGCAGGATTTATATCATCAATCGTATGGCT